GTGCGGCAATCCTGCTCCTATGGTAGGTGAGAGGGTGTCTGAGGAGGGGATGGGTTTGTTGTGGGCAGAGGAGTGTGGATAGGTGTCCACAATTGTGCGTCTGGCCTATGGTGGGCATGGAAAAGTGCCAAAAATGGAGATGTGGGGTGTGCTGAGATAGGGAAACAGAGGGATGCATGCACCAACGGTGGTGGACGAGGTCACATTGGGGCTCGAATGACCACTACCAAGTGGACCGAGTGTAGATACGAACTCTATCACCCCCACCCATGACCACCATACAATCTACAATAATGTACATGTAAATCCGAAACGAAACGAACTCTCGAATGGATAACGATAGAGATCCCACAAATAATGGGGTGGGTTCATAAAGGGAGGGAGGGAAGATAGAGTTTATGAAAGGAAGGTGAGAGCTCACAAGTGAACGTGTATCAGGCTGTACAATGGGTGTCCACATCTGGTCATGAAAATGATTGCAAGTGTCCAAGGTCAAGCCCTGTGCTCTGTGGGTGTGGGTGTAAGATGTATGAGAGGTGAACTACCGAATCTTAGTCCATGTCCTGGCCACTCTTATTGGTCCACAGTGTTTTGGTTCGTTTCTCGTTTGATGTTTTGGTTTGAATGTTCACATATATATTTGTCTTGTATTATTCTCGATGTGCCATGTCACAGACTGGCACCTTAATGTCTCCTTTGGTTTTTGGTTCGTTTGCTTCATGTTTTGTGTCTGGAGATTTGTATAAAAGCTTGTAGATTCATATCTATGTTCTCTAGACAGAATATTACGTATTCTACCCTATTCCTTTGTCTCTCTGTCTCCGTTCGTTCTCTACACCCTCTTTGTTACCTTATTCCCTGTGAGTCGACCACTGTCATGACCCCGTTCTCACGCCTCATTCCCATCGGCTTAGCCTTGGTCTAACCTTCATCCTATGTTAGCTATGTATTCCCACCATATCTTAGATACATCAGAGCCTCGTAGTAATTACACGGCTGTGGTGTTACTGGTATAAAACTAGGGTAGAACCTGTACTAGATTCGGTAGTTCACCTTTCGTTATCTATCTACACCCTCTTCCCTTTCTACCTTCTGTGAAGGATCTGAGCTCAGTGACAGGTTGTGTGATGTCAACCTGAACTACGCCATTGTAGAACAGTAAATCACCAAGGTCCGAAATAAGAGTTGTGTGGACCAGGCTGTATTGTCGAGGGAGCATTAGCGACTGTGTACAGGTGTGGATGGAAGTAAAGAGTTGAATGACTAACTACCACATGGGGCCAGATAACACTATATAAATAAAGTCCAAATAATCATAGTAATCCTACCAGGATCACATGTGAGTCAGTTCTGACTACCGCTGCAACACAGCACACGTCACTAGGGGCCCCACGCCTGAAGTGCAGCCTGATCCGTCGATGTAGGAAAGGCTCTTGTGCTAGTGCAAGGCCAGGTCCTGACCGTGAGCTACACTTGCAAGGCACAGTATGGACATTAGTATAAATAAGGACATCTCAGTTATCATGTTTCGGTGTCAGGAGCACTGGATCGGTCATGGGTGGTGTCGTACTATGCTGAGGGGTGACAGAAGTCTTTTCGACTTTTGCTCACAGAATCTCAAACCAGAATGAGTCTGGGCACATGGCACCATCAAAGAATGGTTGATTGAGAAGTTAAAATCTGTGGACCCAAACCGATTTCTCTCCACTATGTTACAACAAATTGGAATATCACAAGCCTCTGATGCACCTAGGTGTCTGTGAGAATGTGTAGCTGAACGTGTCCAAAGGCTAAGCCGACATGACAAGGTTGTGACCATGTCTGCTAGTGTCGGTTGTATCTGTGGTCAAACTTGGTATGGTACTGTCGTTGGTGGTATGTCTCGGACGATCGGCAGTAGACTTGTCGAGGGTAGTGAGCTCAGGTGTGGATGACAGAGATGTAGATCGGAGTATGTTATCATTGTGGGTGGACAAGCTATATACACGAGTTATCGATCATAGGGTGAGCAGGATAAGGATATGAAGCACGAGTGTGGTGAGAGGCAGACTAGCCTCCATGAGGGTCTCTAGCTTGGCGGCTGCACCATCCGACACCTTTAATATGTGAGTGACGATAATAAGGGAACGGGTTCATAAGGACTAGGGTCGAGTGTCTTGACGAGCGTCGGAGGGGGTGTGGTTTCAAAACGAATGGTGTGGGTGCATAAGAGTCGTACGATCACGATGGCTATCTATGGTGAGAGGAGTGTGTGGAGGTGAGGATAACAAAATGATGGTGAGGATGGCAAAACCACAGCACTCAGGATTCCCGCGTGGTCCCCCACCGTGGTACTAACT